TTTTTTTTTCTTTTTTGAGACAGTCTTGCTCTGTTGCCGAGGCTGGAGTGCAATGGCATGATCTTGGCTCACTGCAACCTCTGCCTCCCAGGTTCAAGTGATTCTCTAGCCTCAGCCTCCCAAGTAGCTGGGACTACAGGTGTGCATCACCACACCTGGCTAATTTTTGTATTTTGACTAGGCATGGTGGCTCATGACTAATCCTAGCCCTTTGGGACAAAGAGGTGGGCGGATCACCTGAGGTCAGGAATTCAAGACCAGCCTGGCCAACGTGGTAAAACCTCGTCTCTACTGAAAATACAAAAATTAGTTGGGAGTGGTGGCGGGCATCTGTAATCCCAGCTATACGGGAGGCTGAGGCAGGAGGATCACTTGAACCTGGGAGGCAGCAGTTGCAGTGAGCTGAGATTGTGCCACTGGGCAACAGAAACAAAAGTTCATCTCAAAAAACAATAATAAAAATTTTAAAATTTTTGTATTTTTAGTAGAGACAGGGTTTCGCCATGTTGGCTAAGCTGGTCTCAAACTCCTAACCTCAAGTGATCCACCTGCCTCGGCCTCCCAAAGTGCTGGGATTACAGGTGTGAGCCACTGTGCCCGGCCTGGTAAGCAAGAATTCTATGCAAGGGAATAGGATAGAAAAAACGGAACCACTTTTTGACGAATCTGAGTCAAGTTTCTTGTTTTCTTTTCTCTCTTTTTCTTTTTTCTTTTTTTTCTGAGACAGAGTCTCACTTTGTGCAGTGACACAATCAAGGCTCACTGCAGCCTCCACCTCCTGGGCTCAGCAATCCCCCCACCTCAGCCTCCCTAGCTAGGACCACAGGTGCATACCACCATGCCTGGCTAATATTATTTTTATTATTTTTGTAAAGATGGAGTCTCTGTATGTGGCCCAGGCTGGTCTCGAACTCCTGGGATCAAGTGATCCTCCTGCCTTAGCCTCCCAAAATGCTGGGATTACAGATGTGAGCCATTGCCATGGTTCTGAGTCAAGTTTTTACACACAGTTTATTAGGCTGTTCCAAATACAGTCAACTCCACATTTGAGCATCAGACTAAAGTCAATTATGATATGAGATGAATGCAATATAAAAGGAAAGCTAATTATTATTATTCCTTTCAGATACCTGAAACTTGACAGTACACAGTGTTGTTCTTTTTTTTTTTTTCCCCACAGCATTGTTCCTTTTTTTTTTGAGACAGAGTCTCGCTCTTGTTGTCCAGGTTGGAGTACAATGGCGCGATCTCAGCTCACTGCAACCTCTGCCTCCCAGGTTCAAGTGATTCTCCTGCCCCAGCCTCCCAAGTAGCTGGGATTACAGGTGCACGTCACCACGCCCGGCTAATTTTTGTATTTTTAGTAGAAATAGGGTTTCACCATGTTGGCC